TTCTGTTGTACATAGGATGGCTACGAGTTGAAACCAACTCAACAGCATCTAAAAACAACAACTGTTTATTATAGCCATTGCAGTGGGCATGCATCCAGTGCCCACAGATTAGGGAGGTGTTTTTCTGTTGGCCAATCCTTATTTTGAGGCTTAGAGTGTATTTGAGGCTGCGCATCAAGGTGATAAAGGATGGGGTGATGTGATAGAATCCACAGACCAGAGACGTGAATGGCTACTATATCTTTTTTTTTTTTTTTTAACAATTCAGAATTCGGATTTTAATATTATTTGATCATTGTCTTTGCACTTTTAGGAAGGGATATATATATATTTTAATCAATTTATTGGGGCTCATACAATTCATCACAATACATAGCTCAATTGTATAAAACACATCTATACATTTGTTGCCCTCATTATTCCCAAAATTCGCTTGCCTCTTGGGTAGTCGGGCACCATCAGTTTTCTTCGACACATTTGCTTATGTACCTATTTTGTCTTCAGTGATTGAGTCGGGAAGGTCAGCACCACAGAACGCCAGATTATTAGAACAAAGTGTTCTTGAGTTGAGGGAGTACTTGAGTGGAGGCCCAATGTCCATCTGCTACCTTAATACTAAACCTGTAAATATATGTACATAGATCTGTTTCCCCATCATCATATGTAAATATATTTACATATGCACATGCTTGTATTTAGACCTCTTTAAATGCCCTTACCTCCTAGTTCCTTCCTCTATTTCTTTTTACTTTCCTTTTGTTCCACTATCATGTTCAGTCTTCATTTGGGTTTTAGTAATTCCTCTCAGTTACATTGCCCTGATCAAGCCCTACCAGACCGCCTACATCCTCCTCGCTATCGATTTTGGATCACTTGTTGTTCCTTTGTTCCTGGGTTTGGTAACACCCACTTCCTTTCCTCCATGTTCCTCTCTTCCATTCCTCTCAGAACCATAGGTCCCGTTGTTTTCTCTTCCAGTTTGTTTATCGCGCCTATCTTATTTAGATAGACCTTCAGAGATAATAATATGCACAAAGAACAAGACAGAGCAAAACAAAGCAGCAAAAGAGAACATAATACAACAACAACAACAGCAACAAAAAAGAAAAGCCTGTAAATAGTTCAAGGTCTGTTTGTTGACCTTTAGCAGTGTTTCCCGGTTGAGTTTTTTTAGTATTCCCTAGGGACTTTGTTGCTCTGTTCCCCTTGCTGTTCTGTTGCCCACCCTTAGTGTTTCTCCTCAGAGTGGTGGGGTCAGTTCGGGTGCTGAAGCTACAGCTCAGGGAGTGGGACATGTCATATCAGAGCACACAGGAGCTAATGAAGGGAGAGCAAGAGAGAGTGGAACACCAAGCCCAGAGGACGATATTCCTTCTCATAGCAGCCAAAGCACAGAGAGGACCATAGGGCCGGCCCCACTACAAGACACGATGTCCCTCACTGACCCATAGCTCTACAGGGACAACACTGGAGACACAGTGCAGGAATTGAGCCCGATCCTACCCCACCACACTAAGTTGACTCTTATTGGTGGTTGGGTCTAATAAGACAGAGACTGGAGTGGGACAGAGACTTCTCTCTTTCAAGAGGCAACTTGCTGTTGTCAAAAGAAAAACTATGGAACCGAGTCTACTTGAGTCCAAATCATGATCCTACAATTTATTAGAGAAACTGTCCTATCCTCTGTATGTCACTGTGTTTTACACCGATGTAATGGCAATGACGATGGTAAGGACATCAGTATCTGCTTCATAAGGTTGCTGATGGATGGTGCTGAATATGGAGGTGTAGACAGTCTTCACACTGAGTCCTCAATAGAAGACTTTATTATTACGATTGTTCTTTGTATCTGAGTTTAGAAAATACACAGAAATCCCTGACTCATTTAAGTGCTGAAACATTGGACTAGCTGAAAGGTTGGTGTTTCCAACCTAGTTAGAGGCTCTCAGTGATGGTGATCTGCTTCTGAAATGGCATGACCTTGAAACCCTACAAAGCAGTTGGAGTTTGCACAAGTGGGTGCAGTGGGAATTGGAAATGACGCCACAGTAACTAACAACAGAAAATATGCAGTATTTTGAGGGAATATTGTCCTATTTGGAAGGATTTTCTATATTGCAGGAACAATTTAATAAGGCTATTTATGGATTATTTTATAGAAAGCTGCCCCCCTGTGTCTTTCTAAATAGAAATATTTTCGGTTTTAATCACTTTACTATTGATGGCATGTTGAATTAGTTTTCACGTTGAATAAATTATACTGAGAAGCCTCAGGTTAGGGTTACAGTTGCCCCCCTGATTCTGAGCGTTGGATGTGGTTCCCATACTCAGAATGTCAGGGTTCCTCTCTGTGAAATCAGCATGTCTTTTAAAGAGAATTGCTGCAAAGATCAAAATAAGATAATGTCTAGCCAAGCACTTGGCATATTATCAAACAGTCTCCAAGGGAGACTACTTTGTGTTTTTCTTAATGATGTTTAATTGAACCAGTAACTTCCAAAATTTCTATGGTCCTCAGCCTTTTATATAGAATTGCTTTTTATCCATTCAAAAAATTTAAATGTGTTGTATCTTTAGATACAATCATGAAACTCTTGCAGATCTTGGCTTCAAAGTCTAGAAATCGAATTCTACCTATCAAGTACCTTTCTTCACAAATTTTATCCTGAGTCATATTTCTCACTTAAAAATAAACACATTTGTATGAGAAAAGCAAAAGTTAAGCAAAGACGTAGAAATGATGAGGAGAAAAGGTTTCGTCATTTCAGAGCGATTGCTCAGAATTCCCCAGGCCTTGGCAAATACGAGAAGTACCTCTTTCATGTTTATCAGAGGGTTGCTACTAGATTATCAGTAGAGATGAAGCAAGATTA